CTGTCATGCAGGCTGTGTGGCCAGAAGCTCCAGAAGTTTGCTTCCCTCATAATGGCATATTTGACTAAATGTACTAAATTACTGGCATAAAGATAACAAGTAACTACTCCTATTAAACATTTTAAAAAGTATATTTCTGAAGTGACACAAGTAATGAAAATACTATGGCTTTATGTCATTAAGTAGTCAAACATCTATTTGGTTCCTGTCATGTTATCAACCCTCCCCTGAAGGACTGTGAGAAAGAACTCAGAATATAACACTGTTTAATCTTTTTAGGTAGAAAAATTTGCATTTTCTTTTTTGTTTCTTCAGATTCTTTGATGTGAGTCATCTCAAACTTTTTTATAATCATTGAGATTAACCAAACACCTTAATGCAAACAACATTCCTGGCCTACAAATGAACTTCCATCCAGCCCAGGGGCTGCTGAGTTAGTCAGTCCCCTTAAGTCAGATTCTCACTTCCCCAGAGAGTCCAGGAAAAGTGCTAGGTGCCTTTGAAGGCATTTGAATGGGTAAGCAGTCAAGGGATGAAAACAGCCTGGGCTCAATCTGCTTGTGCTACCTTTGAATTGCTTTAGCTCTTGTGCCCCCACAAACTTCATGTACCTAAACCAACAGCAGTGAAATCTCTCATCCAGCAACAGGGGAACTGGGGGCTTTGTTTGCTTTTTCCCTCTATCTGAGCTCAGTTGGGATGAGAGAAATATGTGCTGCTGCACAGCTCAGAACAAGGCCTCTCTGCTGGGAATCTGAGCTGCAGGATGAGAAACAGAGCCTGAGGCTACTGTCTGCCTGTCTTGAAATGTGTTTGCACTGCTGAACAGGAATGCCAGGGATGAAGGTCAAGGGTTTGGTCCTTGCTGTCCTCCTTGTTCGAGTGTCAGATCATTCCTGAGCTCTGTCTCAGGACTTCTTCAAGACAAATTCTGGGCAAATAATTCACTTCTGGAGCAACTTCCAAAAATCATTAGGGATGAGACCATAACAACTTGGTTATCCCTACCCTACATATCCCTCCAACATATTCCACCTAGTTCTGTACCTTCAGAGGCTAATGACATGCTTTTAGAACGTCCTATTAAAAACTGGCGACCTCTGACAGACCTGTCACATCATAGTGTTTTTAACTGAACTACAAAAAATGTAACTATGTCTTAAAATCCTGATAACCTCTGACCTCAGGGGCTAAAAGTCAAGTACCACCACATATCTGCTCTGGATGGACCTAACCCTACATGGTGTGGAAATAAGTAAGCTGACACCTTAGTGCCAGGAATAATTTGTTAGACCTTCAGTTACTTAATTGGTGCCCTGGTTTCATCTGGGATACAGTTAATTTTTATTAGTAGCTGGCACAATGCCATGTTTTGGACTCAGTACGAAAATAATATTGGTCACACACTGATGTTTTGGTTGTTGCTGATCAGTGCTTATCCTAAGCCAAGGACTTCTCAGTTTCCCAAGCTCTGCCAAAGGGCAGGTGCACAAGAAGCTGGCAGGAGACATGGCCTGAACAGCTAATCCAAAGTGGCCAAAGGCATAATCCAAACTCAGTTTACAAACTGTGGCAGTTGGCCAGGAGGCACTGATTTGTTTTGTAGATAAAGGCAATTTTCTTCCTGGTCAGGACATTGTGGTGATGACGGGATTCACCTCTGCCTCTCTAAACTATCATTAAATGGCTTTGAGCCTAAGGCAAAAGGTGGGAAGTTTCATCTCACCTTGACTCAGAAATCCCTTCAAACTTGCAAGACAGAGGACAGGCTATGGGGGACATTGTGCCCAGAAGAAAACAGGATGGACCAAAGAATTTCCCTGTTCCTTTAATGCCAGTCCAGACCTCCCAAGCCCACTGTGCCACCCCCAGGAAGGAGCAGGAGCTGCCTTTCTGTTGGGCTGAGCAAGGTGGGGAGAGCAGAGGAGAATCCCATCCTCATTCCCCTTCGGTGGCACAAGGAAGATCAGGAATAAGACAGAAAACCACCAGCCACCAGCTCTGGACACCAAGGCTGTGGGAAGGCACAGCATTCCCAGCCAAGCCTCCAAGAGCTGTTAGGTGGTGTAGATGCCTTCATGGGTGCAGAGTGTTCACAGCCTGCTGGATTCCACACAAGGCTGGCAGACTGCGTCAGCAGGGACCTGGCTGCCCTCTCACCAGCACTCAAGAGCTTTATGAATAAGGCAGATGTGGATAGTAGTTATTCTCAGTCTCCTGGGAAACTGCTGTTCTAAAGCTCTGTGTGTCCACATGCAGTTTCTAGGTCAGTCTACTTAGAGGACTAAGACTCCCTGGAGCTCTTGAAACAACTAAGTGCATGCACGGGTCATGGCTCAGTGCTGTGCAGATGTATCTGTTCACATCCAAGAGCTCTATAGCTGCATGCAGCTGTTGCTAAGCCCAGCATAAGCTCCCTACTCAGTAGCTTCAGTGCACAATTGTAGCCTGAAATTTGGAACAAGCAGACAAGTCCATAGCTGGCAATGATATCATGGCCTGGTAGAGCGATCCTTTAATGACTTCTCTGCTGTTCATAGCCAGATTGTTTTAATCATGATCTACCCAAACCACATCAAAATACTTCTTGAAGTTTCACATTTAATATGCAAATATTTAAGATTCCCCATAATAAAATATTCATAAGGTATCCTGAGTTGGAAGAGACCCACCAGGATCATTCTGGCCCTGCACAGGACACTCCAAGAATCACACCCTGTGCCTGATAGTGTTGTCCAGATGCTCCTTGAACTCTGTCAGGTTCCGTGCTGTGACCACTGCCCTAGGGAGCCTGTTCCAGTGCCCAACCACCTTCTGGGTGAAGAACCTTTTCCTGGTATCTAGCCTAAACCTCCCCTGACTCAGCTTCATGCTGTTCCCTCATGTCCTGTCACTGGTCACCAGAGAGAAGAGATCAGTGCCTGCCAGAGATAAAAAACACGTTTGTAACAGCTAGTGGTGGCTAGTTAATATATTCATTAAAGAAATTAGAGGTTTATGCTTCTCAGAAAACTGTGATTTTGAGATCTCTGGAATCTCCCTACACTTTTTCTGTAAGGGTGGAAATAAATAAAGCTAGCTTAGAAATGGTGTCTGAAATCCTTTGAAAATGCCAGAGAGACAATGGAATTACTATTCCTGGAGTTACAGGACATTGCTATATTTTAAGCAGTTGCCTTTTCATCTCCATCAGCTGAGAGAAGAAATTCATCTCACACTGACAGGAGAAGAGGAGGGCTGCCCTGCAGTCAGGAACAACACCAACCAAAGCTGAGGTTCCTTCCTTCTGTGCAGGAGAAATTTGTCATCTTTTCCCTGCATGATCTCACTATGCTTAGAAGAATTGTCCTCCTTTTATATGTAAAAGCAAGAGGTGGTTTCAAGGATTTGTTTTCCCCTGAGCACTATTCAGAATAGCACAACCTGCAAATACATTGTATTTGTTCCCTTGTGAGGTCTCTGCATCTTTCTACACAGAGAAAATGAGTAAAACACTAGGAAAACACACACAATGCTTGTTCTTGGGCTATGCAGATCTCCTGCAATGAACAGCTGTTCAGTGCCTTGTGCAACACCGCCCAAATTCAACATATATCAAAAACTCCAGCTACAGCAGGCAAACACACACCAAATGGAAAATTGAAGATAATCTCCACCCTGTACACATGTCTCATTTTATCAACATTCAGATCCTGCCCTCACACCCACCAAGATGGCATCTGAATGCAGTTTATGCATCAGTGGCTGTATTAGAACCCTCTGGTCTGCAAGAGAGATGGGGTAGAATGGAAAAATACCCATGAAGACTGGATGGCCAAGTTAAATTGCCCAGATTGGAGTATTTTGCATCATACTGCACTTCGTGTGCACAGAACACAACCTCCCCCCCCCCGCCATTGATTTCAGCAGCACTGATGAATGCCAGATGTCTGTCCAGAATCCCAAATCAGACATGAAGAAAATGAAAAATAGCTAATTATTAGAAATTACGCTGTGCCACATTAAGCACATTGTAGCACACACAGTGTATGATACACAGTTTCCAAGGACACCATTTCTAGAGCTTTAATCATGTCCTCCTCTTCCAGGCTGTCCAAGTCTCTCTGAGACTTGTACCTCTGCTGGCCACCAGCCACTGTTTATTCCTGGACAGGCTCCTGAAGTTCACTGTACAATCTATCTCTTCCTTTTATCCAGTCCATCCTTCCTGTTCCTTTGATCTAAATCAAACAGCTTCAACTTCTTGCATTCCCCCCACTTGTGCCCAAATTCAGGATTGAGCAGGGCCTGGAGGGGAAAGGTTTGCCAGCCAGTGCAAGGGTGCAGGATCCAGAGCTGTAACTGCAGGAGCCTCACTTAGACCCACCAGCAGCATTTGAGATGGCATTTGAGGATTTTGTCTACTGGAATAACAGCTGTATTCTTCATATATAGCAGGATGACAACTGCGCTCAAAAATGGTGAATTTTAAGATGTTTCTTTCAGCTTCAGAAAGAACATCTTACTGAGGTACTCAGCATTCTCAGAGATTTATTTGCTAGTAAAGTGCTGGATTCTGCTGCCACTGGAATGGGGAGCATGGTTCACAAGCTCTGCACAATTGGGAAGTTGAATAGAATAGAATAGAATAGAATAGAATAGAATAGAATAGAATAGAATAGAATAGAATAGAATAGGTTAATTTTTAAGGGACCTACAATGATCATCCAGTTCAACTCTCTGAACAATTCAGGGTGGATGTGTTGCAAGTGTTGAGGGAGGAAATGGGACTTGGTGCAAGGAATCTAAGAAGGCAGGAGGAAAGATTTGACTCTGCAGATCAGTGATACAAAATATCCTGACTCCAGGAGCGTTGATAAAGGGCAGTAAAATAGCACTGGATTCACAGTAAGAGGCTGATAACCACTTGTGCAAGGGCAGGTTAGCTGCAAGGAGTGGTAGATATTTCAGTCTCTTTAAATACTGAGGTGTGAAAACTCAGCACAAGGCTTAAAATTATGGCAGAACTGTAAGTTTATTACAGGACACTGAGAAAAACAGCTTCACTTTTTTTTTTTTTTTTTCTTTTCATTTATAATAAAATTTTTCTCACTTCACTGCTGAATGCTGCAAGTTAAATGTGGAATGGGTCAGCCTGGTGTGATGTTAAAACTAACTTCCACAGCTCAAGGAGGTATTGTTTTTCTGTGCAATATAAGGTACAGTTTTTGGAACACCATTTTTTTTATTATTCAAACCCATATTTTCTCTTGCTAAGAACATTAAGTTCTGAAATCTACTTCAGACAGTTGCAGTCATGAATTTTCTTAGACACTCCAAATAGGACACATCTCTCTGTTATCCTGAAATGCACCAAAATTGTACAATCACCAGAGGATAAGCTGCAGAAAAATGCTCCATTTTTATTACTTGCTATCAGAGATACCATCTCTTCTCTCAGAGCAGTTAATTTATGAATTGATTCTAGAGAGCTAACTTCTTAGTTCACTCCAACTTCTTAGTTGGAATGAAATGCCCCAAATGTCTGAAATGACAAGTACACAGGTGCTTTACAGGGTAAGAGAGCAACATTCAAAGGCAAGTTAAACAGTCAAACTGTGTGATCCTTCAGCTGCAACTTGACAATGATGCAAAGATATTTTGATAAAAATATCCAAACCCACAGTAGCACTTAATTATCCATTCTCCAACTGTGAAAGTTATGTCCAACTTCTGGTATGTTTCTTGGGTTTAGTTATCTATTTGAAGAAAAAAACATCTTGAAGAATAGGCATGCACTTTTCTTCAAATCTATCTTAGAAAAACTGCCTGTTATGTAAGAGACTCCTATTTATCAATGTCTAGCTTATCCTCCACTTCTCTAAGTGCATTTACACCAAAAAAAAATTATGGAATAGATCTGTTCATTCATTCTGAACAGGTTTTGACTTTTCAGACCCCAGTTCAGAAAGAATGCTTTCCTACCCAGTTGCACTGGATCTCAGATAGCAACCTAAAGGTCCACACCTCAACCATTTCCATGCTGCTACAAGGAGACTCAGGAAAGGGGAAGGGAGATCTGATGTGGTGAAACTGTTGTTTAAGTACCAGCAAAACACACCCAGAGTCCTAGTTCTAAAAAAGCTTAGTCATGCAGGTAACAGCAACACACATGCAGAGAATCCCATCCTGTGAGCCAGTCCAAAGTCACCTTGACAAAGACAAAAGTTCCTTCCTGGGAAGAGTTTACCTTCTCCCCTCTAGGGTCTCCTCACCATTGTCATCGGCCTGCATCAAACATGCAGCTTTTTTATACTGCCTCCTGCAGAACCTCCTTCTTGGTTTTATCACCTGTTGTGTGTTCAGGGCTCCACATCTTCCCACCATTTTAGCTCTTGCCAAATCTGTGTGCAGTCCAAGGCCACCTTTTAGCTCACAGCTACTATTGGCTCAACTGCAGAGATGTCTGTCTTCCCTGACTGGATGGTGGAGGATGGTGGAAGGACATGGGAGGACTGCAACCTCTTGAAGTTGCCGTTTTCTGGCCAAGCCAGTTGGTAGGATGGGACTGTGGAGGGAAGCCTCTGCTCTGTGGGCTTGGGGGGCTTTCTGCACATGTTGAGCAAAGCCTTCAGTTCCGATCGGAAGCTGTCATTGAGCCAGCAGTAGATGAAGGGGTTGTAGCAGGTGCTGCTCATTGCAAACCAGTGGAAGGCAAAGTACAGGGCGTTGTTGGTGTGGATGGTCTGGCTGGAGAGGAGGACGACGTAGCAATTCAAGGGGAACCAGCAAACTGCAAAGAGGATGACAACGAGCATCAGCATCTTGATGGTCTTCTTATTCTTTTTGCGAAGGACAACGTACTGCTCAATGGTGACATCCCCGATGACATTGCGCAGCCAGAGCTTCTTTGCCACTGTCATGTAGGCAGCGGAGATGATCAGAAGGGGCAGGACATAGAGCAAAATGAAGGTTGTTAAATCAAGGTACTTCCAAAAGAGGTCAGCAGGCTCGGGGAAATCTGGCAGACAAAGGCACCGGGTAACATCCTCACTGCAAATGGAGAGATGGGACAGGATGAGAGGCACATATGGCCAGGCATGGCGAGATAAGTACATCAGAAACAAGGAGGCAGCTGGGAGAGGGCTCCTGCCACAGGTCCTGAAAGCAAACACTGTGTTTGTCTCACAAATGTCACAGCTGAGCAGAGCTCTGCTCTTCAAGGATCTGAGCCATGGAGCAGCCAGTGAGCAATGTGGTGATAATTTCTTATGGGCATTCATGACCTTATGATAATTTTATGAATTTCATCAATTACAAGATTTCCAGCTGCACATAAGCAGGTTTTTATTTTCTGTCCTTTGGCAGATAGGAACACATTCTCTGCACATATTAAGGACCTTTCCCTCATTAAAGCACTTTCCAAATACTAAGGCGCTTGACAGCTGAGGCAGATTTATCTACTTTCCTAGGGCTAAAGAGTAGATTAAAATCTGTTGGGTTTTAGTGGGCTTTTGGTTGGTTGGTTGGTTGGTTGGTTGGTTGGTAGGCTGGGTTTTTTATTTCCCATTTCTGATCTGACCAAACAGGTCAGATTGGTATATGGCATAAAATGCCAGTGTATAGAAGTAAAGGGTCAAGCCAGATCCTTTAACTTCATAGCCTGTTTTGTGTGGTTAGTGGGACAGAATAAAGATAAAATATTTAAAAATAAAAAGGACAGGATATCAGACATTGCAAAAGGAATTGGATGAAAATTGTAGTTTAGATCCATGTTTGGCTGACCTTGACATATGCTCAAGACTTTCTGTAGAATATAACAAAGTATGACTGCTCAGAGTTTGGCCTCCAGGGAGACCATGGAGGAAAGCAAAGCACATCCTTACCTGTATTCAAAAATAAAGAGCTTTTGGTAGATAGCATGTGGTAGGGAAAAACAAGTTGCCATGATCCAGATTACAGAGATGTAGATAACACCTTTTCCAGTAGATATGCGAGGTTTCAGGGGGTGCATTATAACCTGTGCAAAATCAACCAAAATCTAGGCTTATTACATTTCTGGAAAAAGTTATGCTTTTTTTTCATACAATCTTCCAGCCTTAAATTTAGCATGGTAATTTAGTACCCAGCTCCCAATGGCAGTAAGCTGTACATGAAAACCTGAAATGTAACATCATGAAATATGGTTCAAATCATATCGTAGTCCTATCCTCAGATTTCAGTCCTTTCATCTAGGTTGGAAAAACTGCATACTGCTGTTAATACATGTTCATTACCAGGTTCAATTTCCTTAATAGAAAGGGGGAAAAAAAAGAGGAGAAAAAAAGTCTCAAACTCTTCAGTTTCAGTATCAGTGATGCAAAGAACCAAAGGGTTTAACCAGACCTCCATGGGAATGCTTCTGATAGTGAGCGCATTTTCTGGAAACAATCTTTCTAGCAGAAAATGCCAACTGTAAACAGTTTTGGGTGGTTGTTGGGTGACTCCAAGCTGATAATACCCAAATGTCCCCAGTCTTGAGCCCAATATCAACAGTAAGCTATAGCTCTGCTTGTGACAAACACCAGTGTCCTACAGTCAGGTCTCCAGTATTCAGGGTAACAGGAGGTGGGACATCCCCAAACATCAGGAGATAGAGCTGAGAAAATTAACTAGGATGTCCCTTAGAACCCTGGTACTGGACAAGCCACCCCAAAGGAGAGCTGTCCACATGAATTCTTATCAGGATCTTGATCTTTCTCCTTGTTTGAGAGCTACTGAATTATCCACTGCATAAAAACTCCCTTTACTCAGCTGGAAGAGATACCAAGGTGATGGATATGATGGATATCTCCTTTTTTGCTGTGGGTTTGAAACTATTCTGAGAACAAGAACTGCTCCCCTACCCTGTCAGCTCCTCATGAATCTTATGGTACTCTGGGAGCTGGAAGGGAAAGGACATGGGATCATCCTTTCTCAGTTTACTTATGCCCTCCCAAGCTTTCCATCTCTCTGCTTCAGAGAGGTCTCACCTGGTGCCTGTCCACAGCAATGGCTGTAAGGGTCAAGGCAGAGACGTGCAGGGAGCAGTACTGTGCAAACCTACTGACATGGCACATCCCCTTCCCAAAGATCCAGGTACTGTTTACAAAACGAGCCTAAAAAAGAAGAACGTTAGTTTTGTGCACCCCACAACTGCTTATAGGTACACCTCCAGCGTACACACATTTCCTTGTGCTGTGTAAAAGACACTTAGAAGATAGCAGGTTCTTTGTTTAATTGTATAGCGTTCTGGCTTCTGAACACTGAAGAGGCAGGTTACTGCCGCTCAGTGGCCTCCCAAACAATACAGCAGTGCAGTACCAAAGATGTTTGTTCTTTTTTATTTACAGTGTATCCTTCTGCAGCCTCACTATTGAGTCAATACATTTGCTCTTCCTTTTAGTCTCCACTTATGGGATAGGGCTGACCTGTACATCTTATCTCACTTCAGGCAAACTACACCTTTTCAGAACAACTTGTTAAACGATGCTAAGCATTTATTTATTTTTCAAAAAGTTTATAGCATTGCTTTCAAAATACTTTAGAAAAGAGAAGGGGAAAAAAAATCAGATGCTACAAAGTACTAAGCAATCACTGCAAGGCTATTTTTGCTCAAGTACTATCAGGGCCACATTAAAAAATGGGTAATTTCCGATCTTCAGCTAGATAACAGGAATCAGAGAAGAAAAATACATGAAGGGTTTTCCAAAGGCAACTCCAATGGCTGTAATTTGGAGTGGACAGGTATCTGCAGAAGATCCACACACTGCCTATAGCAGGAAAAGCCACCAAAGCACCTTTATGGCACTGTAGAGGCTCAGAGAAATTTACTTTAGTCATGTGGTGGATTGTGGAGGTGCATCCCCCCCTCCCAGGCTGCACCATGTCTGGGAATGCTGGAGCGCTTCCTTTCCCTCTGGGGTGGGGTATCGCAGGCATCTCTGCCCCCTCTTACCAGCGTGAAAGGTGTGTTGAGGAGCGTGATCATGATATCGGCTACAGCCAGGTTCACAATGAACAAGCTGGTGGCGGAGTGCACACGCTTCGTCTTGATGACAACATGACAGACCAGGACATTGCCGAAGAGGGCGAAGACGATGATGAAGGAGTACGCCGCGATGAGCAGGGCTTTCACCGTGGTGCTCTGCGACTCCGCTCCGTACCGGCTCCTGTCCACAAAGCTCCGCCAGTCGGCCAGGCTGTCATTATCCCAGGAAAAGAAACCCGACACGTTCGGGACAACAAAAGTCTTCTCCAGGCTCCCATTGAGGGATAACTTTCCTGGGGTCACAAAGGCGTTAACCAAGTCGGGGAGGGTGAGCCAGACAAAACAGGGTAACATCTCTGGAACCGCTGCGCCGCTCCAGCTCTGCAGGAGCTGATTCGCGGGAGCAGCACCCGCTCCGTGCGCCGGGAGAGCCGCTCCCGCCCCGCTCAGCCCCGGCGCGCTCGGGGCTGCAAACGCGGCACACGAGCAGCGGGAGCGGGGAGATGCTCCTGCTTCCCGCAACCTGCTTCTCCTCCCCTCAGCTCGCCGCTACTTTTGCTCCCTCAGCCAGCCTTATATCCCCAGAAGAGCTCCGAGCCGGGATCTTCTGCAGTCATTGGGCTGCGTGACATAATTTGAGATCTGACGTGCTGCTTTTCCACGCAGTTGCGCTCCCGGGCGCTACTCCGAGGTAAGTACATCTGTGAGAAAGGCAAAAACATTATCTTCAGATGTCAGAATCCGTTTTCTCTACCAGCAGCCAAGCTCAAGCAAATTCCATGCTGTTTATACACCAGCAGCATGTGTGCCAGCTCCGCTCTCTCTCAGGACCTGTCAAATCTGAGCTATTTTACAGGTTTGGCAGGCAAAGTTTCAGCCTATTTCTTAGCTAGAATAGAATAGAATAGAATAGAATAGAATAGAATAGAATAGAATAGAATAGAATAGAATAGAATAGAATAGAATAGAATAGAATAGAATAGAATAGAATAGAATAGAATAGAATAGAATAGAATAGAATAGAATAGACTGTAACAGATGAACTGTAAATAACAAGTTGCCTTATTGTACTTAAGAGTATTTTTCCAAAGACCTTTTTTTCTCTCAGAGAGACATGGAATACTCCAGTTTCCCCTTGGCAGGTATTTCCTCTCAGGCAAAGGAATAAAAGCCTGATGTGAAACTGCTTTCTAGGGTTTGTAGAAATAGAGGTAGTTACAAAGATGTGATCACACAGGACAGAGAACAGGAACTGTCCCAGCCAAGCGAGCTCAGTATCCAAAGCAAAAGAAGCTGTAAGCTGCTCCCAAGCACTGATGATCAGATAGCAGCATGTGTGTTCCCTCTGCCTTTCCCACAAAATACATAAGGAAATAGAAAATCAGGACCAGGAGACCAAGACCCACAAACCTTAAACAGAAAGATGTGCCACTTCCCAAGTGCACATGTACAGTGCTGCACCTCTGCTGAGGACAGATCTGCCTGGGTGATGCCAACTAATCCCAGCCAGAGCTGGTTTCATACATAAAAGGCAGGCATTAATTAAATGACCATTATCTGAAAAGCTTGCCTTATAAGCTGGTCACTCACTGGGGAAAAAAACTCTTCCAAAGTATGTTTGTGACTGCCTGAGTGACCTGCTCAGGCTGCCTTCCCTTCACCACCCCTCAGGAGCTAGGCACAATAAAACAAGCAGAATGGACAACCCACGGTGCTACTCTGCACACTGCTACCAGAGTCTGTTTCTTCCATAAAATAGTCCAATTTAAGCTCTTGAGGCAATTCAGCTGTGTCAGAGAAAGTTTTTCAGTACGCCTGCTGGAGCTGCTAAGGTGGTAGTCACACCTGACCATTCAGAGAGAAGAAACATGTCCCACTCAGAAGCACCAGCAGGAAACCAATCTCAAAAAAAAGCCCAAGAAAATAGTAGAAAGTAGGACAGAGCAGCGTTCTTATAGGTTTAGGATGAGAACAGAGGGGTCAGCAGCATATATCCCCCTGCTTGCTATGCTGCTCCAGCAGCTGCCAAGGCCCCCTCTCCCTTCCAGCACTGCTGGCCAGTGCATAAGGGCATTCTGCCACTCAAACACCAGCTCTGACTGTTTCACATGTATTACATCCTGTTCTGTACTATAATCTGTATTTCAGCAAAAATTATCAGGTTTGTTTATTTATGCTCCTTGATCTAATTCTTTATTTCTAGCAGGGTACCCTTATGTAGCTGGAGCTGGAGCTGCCATTGCCTTTGAAGACGAGGTGCATCCAGGAGAGTAGGGCACCCTGTCACCTCCTAAACCAGGCTGCAGCAGGATGGGAATCTCCTCCCCAAGTCAGCTCAAGCTCACCCTCCTTCTGAGCTGCATTCTGTGTCTTGTGATCCAGAGGAGGTGGTCCAACCACACTGGGCAGGCACACCCAAAATACCCACAAAGTGTCATGGAAAAGCCCAGTGGAAAGTCTCTGTGCCAGGTGTCTCCCACACTGGTGGTGTGTCTTTCTCTGCTTCACGACACCTTTCTGATTTAGTTCTGTATTTAAAACATACTCCAGTATGAGCTGTTTAAGCAGCTCACCTAAGTTTGGTTGTTACTAGAGAACAGGCTATAGCGGATTTGGCAGTTTGGTAGTTGCTCCTGCCAACTTAACCCTTATTCAATAATCCCCAGCACTCTAACAGCAAAACAGGCAACTGTACAGAAATGTCAGGATTTGGCATGCTGAATGTGGTTTTTATAAAAGGTACCTGTGAAATGATGCATTTCTAAAGTGAAAAATAATGTTTGAAATAAAGCTATATGGATGGACCATTAATTCAGTCACCAAAAAAGTCACCAAAAATAACTTGTGCAAGAGTACTCTTAACAAGATTATAACCAATTAGAAAACAGGCCTGGTGGGAATAAAAGATTGTAAGAAGAGTATAAAAAAATTCAGCTAGACACACCAAAAAGTTTGGAAGCATTCAAAAAGAGGAATAATGCCTTTTTTTCTTTTTAAATACACAGCACAGTGTGCTTCTCTCCCTCCCCCTGCCCCTGGGAACAATCTTTCACTACCATGGCTTTAATGAATTTTTGAGCTTTGCATTTGAGCTTTGCTGAATTTTTGAGCTTTTCTGAGGCAGGGGAATTGAAGTTACACGGGTGAGAAATGATTTTTCAAGAATTACCCAGTGTGACCTCTGAGAAATCATGTTGATTTTTGGAGCCTCTTGCCCCCTCGTATAACCACATTAATGTTTAGGACAAGCATCTCTTTACAGTACAGTCTTTCTCCACACACCAGTTACATGTTTTCCCCTGAAGTGAAGGCTGCTATGTTTATCTTCCATAGATAAAACACAAAGCCACTGTGAATTTGACAGCTGACTGAAAAAGAAATTGTGAAAAGGGAGAAAGAGCCTTTGATATGATTCCTATTATTCATACACATTCAGCTAAAATCTTTTCCTAAGATGTGTGTAACATCAAAATACAGAGTCCCCATTTGTACTGCTTGAATTACACAGCTGAATTCATTCTCATATACCATGATGTTTAATAACAGTGCAATACTGGGTTTAAGTTCTCTTGGTAGAGTTGATATCACTAAGACATTTCACAGCTTCAATAATGAAAACTGTAGTCTTGTGTCCAATTATGACTCGGAGTTCAGTTTTCAACTGTATCCACATCAGATTGCAAGTAAGTACAAGTTCCACTCTACTGAGACTGTGTCCATATTCAAACCTGCAGACTATTATAAATTTATTTCTCTGCAAAATTCAAACCAGAGATCGAGTTTTCTATAAAAGATTTAACTGTCATTTTTTATTATCATCTCAGAAAGAAAACAGTTTCAGAGCTTTAGAAAGAACTAGCACTTTCAGGCAGTACTTCAGAATATGAGACCTTCTAGTGTAGTTGCATCAAGCAACGTAACAGACATTATACAAATTTGGTGCCGCTGGAAAAAAACAACAAACCCAAACCAAACCATTTCACAGAAGTGAAAATGGAAGGCAAGCTATCATTTACAGAGAAATATCACACTGACAAAGTTCTGCAAACTGCTTCCCATTTTCTTCACAAACTTCCACAGTCTCTCTTGCACAGTGAGGCAGAAATCACTTAGTTCTTCTTGACGTTGCAGGGCTCATGAATGGATCATCCTGCAGTTTGCAAAGAGATACACATTACTAAAATTAGCAGGCATTCCAAGCCACAAAAAAGCAAAGTCACCTTTAGATGAAACTAGAAAGCCTGGCCATACAATTCCATCTTTTCTGACAGATCTGTTTTTGTTGGTTTTGATGTGAAAGAGGTCATTTATTGACTTAAAAGTCCATGTGAAGTATGTGTAGAGAATAGAAGTTTATGTCAATGTGACCACAACAGGTACTTTGAAATAAGGAACAATCTATATTTCAGTTGTAAATGAGCAGCACATACCTCAGTAAAATTATGTCTATATACACATTGCATATCATAATTTACTAATATTTGTATGGTTCAAAAATACTGTTTATTTTTGCATATTCAAGCAAGCATGCTTTTATTTCAGGTACAAAAGAGATAGCACAGTGGGGAGAAGGGACAAGAACGTAGTATTTTCTCTGAAGTGGCCACCATCTGACACTGTTAAGGAATGGATTCTGACCGTACATGACAGACTGTGAAAACAAACTGCACAGTGCTTGACAGAATAGTGTCTTCTATTCAGTGCAAAACTGTGTAAAAAATTCTACTTGTTTAATTGTGGAAGAAACCATTTCCTAGCAAAGATACACTGCAAGAACAGACATATTAGACTTGAAAACAGTGTTTTAAGAACTGTGCTTAGATAATTTGCAACAATAAAATGACCTGAAAAAAGCAGTTTCTAAATTAAAAAAAAATTCCCTTTTACAAGAATAAAATATATTATTATAAATTATAATAATATAATCATTACAATTACAATTATAATTATAAATAATATTATAATTATTATTATATAATATAATATAAAATTCAATGAAAGGATATAGCTAAGCACCAGAAGAGATTATAATTACTTTCTCTCCCAGGCAATTATAGGTCCACTTCAGTAATGACAATTCACTGATTAAAAATTGAAGGGAAAAAGGATTGGGTATTTTTCTGAGGTCCCTTCTAGCCTTATTTTTGATAATTATGCAGGTAGTCTAATCAAAGTTGGTTGCAATAATCTAGCCCTGTTAGTGAAAAAAAAAAAAAAATTCAATTTCACTCTGAAATGCTTTACTCAAATAGCTGTAAAAGAGTGAGCTATAGAAACTTACACGAAATAGAACTAAAAAATAGTACTGTATACCTCATCTGACTCAAAATCAACTCCTCTAGATGCTTGGCTTTGTGAACCTCTCTTACTAAGTGAAGACATAGTTGGCAACCTTGAAACATACAAAGAGAAAAAAATGGCATCAGCATGTTCTCAGTCACCAGACATTCCAATAACTTCCCCTTTAGCTTAAGAGTTGCGTAACCAATACACAAAGTAAAAATAAACAGACATAACAATAGGTAGTGCAATACAAATTCTTAAAATAACCATCTTCATACTAAAGCTCTGATCAAGTTTACCTCCATCAGTAATAAAATTTTTTCTGTTACAGAAAGATAACCCATATTAGCAAGTAAAATTTTATATAAATTCTCTAAGTAATGTTATGACATTCCAAAAAATTTGGTAGTCAATCAGACCCTTGGACTCCGCCAATTGCCAGTCAGAAATAAGGCACACACTGCATTCTTGAAACAAACATACTGACCTTTGATTTATTTTAGAAGAGGGAGGAACAAAAGAAGTATCTTCTGGATCAGAATCAACATCTACAATATCCTGTAAAAAAATGTATAAAGATTTTCCACAGAATTTATCCTTACAGAAAGAGTGCATAATGTGTCAGCACCATAACACAGAACCTCTGGGTGTTTTCCAACTATACACCTATTTAGTTAGAATAATACACGCTTGAGAGGGCTTCAGGCTAGAACTGCACAAATTTGCAAATATAGCACAAGTTTATCCTTCACATCTTTGACCTTGCACAACCCATCAAAACACTCATGTAAATACACCTTGTATCTTAAGACTATGGTCACAAATAAAACATGGCTTTTCTCAGACAAACCCCATAACAAAAAAGGATACAAAAGGTCTACAGATTAACATGTAGAAACTTAATGATGGAATTGACAGTTTGGGAACATCTGCTGATTTCGGCTAATGTTTTGACTGTACATTTATTTTTCAAATCAACAGTAAAAGACAGCACAACTTCACTCCTACAACAAGGTGCTTACCTCAGAGTAAGACTGGAATGAATTCGAAGAGCGGTCTGTTTTCGAAGACCTAAAGGCTGAAATAAAACATATGCAATACTTTTAAAATGCTGACACAATTAAATGCAAGCAGCATTATGCACTTCTTTTTATTTAAGATCCTCCTAGCATGCATTTCCACTGCAAAACACCCTGTAAAACAAACAAACCAACCCAAAACACAAATTAAGTCTGTCAACCCAGGGATATAACCCTCTGTGCAGCTGCAGGTGCTTCCTAGTCTGGCTGAAAAACCATCAGTAATGCTGGTTAAGAAGATGGAAAAATACTGCTGTAACTGAAATTCCTGTGTATCTAACAGGCTAATTATGAACACATCTGCTAAAATTCATTTCTCTGCAATATTTCATTTGCTGATCTATTTAAAATCAACGTAATTTGCTGATTAATTTAAAATTCAGTCTACCTTGGGGTATTTTGTGGTGTGTTTATGTGTAGTGATGAGTGGTATTTTTTCCCTTAATTCTCAGATGACCTATGCTGTTTCCTCAGTGCCTTTCCTCTACAGCAAGGAACAGTTACTCTCACATATGTAGGTGGCTTAAAGATAAGGTTTTCTTCCCTAGTAAAAACTGGCATTTCCAAAACTCACTACAATGTAAGGCTAAATGGATTTGTATTAAAGCTTACTGACTTGCAAACATCAGCCAAATATAACTTTTTATCCCCTGAGGAATATTCTGCCTAAAATATTAAGACACATTCTTTCTATGCTTATTCCTTAAGAAACTGCATTATGTAATATGTTTCCTAATCGCAGTTCTAGCCAGAAGTTCCTAACACATTCCATTTTACCCCATGACAGAAGAATGTCACCATTGTTTTTCCTTTTCTTTTTTCTTTCTCTCATCACTGTTAGTTATTCTATTTGATTAGTGCTGAAAGAACTCTCACAGTTGAAACAGACTAATAGAATAAAAGGCAATAAAAGCACTTAATCATTAAATAAACACCTTCACTACAATTTGAGAGAGCAGATTAGAGTAACAGACAGATCACAGGCCTACCATCCATGATAGACATATTTTTGCCAGGCCCAGATACAGGCTTGTAGGATCTGCTGCCAGAAGCTGACTCTTGGCTAGTGGCTCCTGTAGAGATAACAAAAAAAAAAAAGCAAATCTGTTCAGCAGTTGTTTTTTTTTTTTTCCCTCTTTAGTCTATCATTACTGAGTCACTTTAAAAAGTCACTTCAAAAAATCTACAATCCTCTTTACTCCTCACTTTCTCCTTGAATTAAAGCCCTCATTACATGCAGAAAAATTGTTCTGGGTCAAGTGTTCAAAGGTCCCCAGACACAACCTCTTAACACATACAGCTCTACTCTGATGGGATCACAACAGTGTTGGAGCACAGCCTCACAGAACTAGTTCAAACCAAACCAGACCCAAGATGACAGCCTTCGTTTCAACTCAACCCACTCTCAGACATTTGGGCATACTACTGAGACAACTCAAAGGAGTTATTTACTTTTTATATATATATATATATATATATACACACACATATATACTTATATATAAGTATATATATATATATATACTTATTTATATATATCTTTTATTTACTTATATATATATAAGTAAATAATATATATTTATATATATATTTATATTATTTACTTATATATATATATATTTTTTTTTTTTAAAGGAAGTACCACTACCACTGCGAAGTGTACAATCACACTCAGTCCAGGAGCTATTTAACTCTTTTTGCTTAAGAAACACTCCCCATTTTTTCAGTCACTAGAAACATTAAAGTCTCTTGTCACTTACATTAGGATAGAGAAAATCTGTACCTCCTCTTTACACTGATCAAATACGTTACCTTTAGCAGTAACAAAGATCTATCCATGCACTTCACTGTACAGACCTTCCCAATAATGCATCTTTTAGGACTAGACTATGTTTCCACAGCTGGGAAGCATGATATTTTCTTTCTTTTAATCACAATGAAAAAGTGCCAACTTAAGCCTTTTAAGGCAGTCAATTGTATGTAATAGGATATCACAAGTATTTGAGAAGAGTTTTTTTTTCCCAGAAGTAGTTCTTAAGCAGCAAATTTCCACTTGATGGAAGCGTCAGAAGAGAGCCACCTTTTAAAGAAAAAAAAGTCAGGAGCTGCAGTACAAAGACAGCAAAGTTTTTCTTACCTCTTCCTCTTCGAGATGAACCTCTTGCTGTTGAATTTTGGCCTCTTGCACCTCTCGCCCTACCTCTTGCCCGACCCCTTCCTCGGCTCAGTGTTGAAGAAAGGCCATCACTTGGATTGCTAGTGCCTGTCATCTCA